TTGATATAACTTCATCTGTTCTGATAGCATGGCATAATGATAAATCTAGACTTTGTGGAGACTTTTGTGCTCTTAATCAATACACAAAGCCTGATAGATATCCCTTACCAAGAATAGACCAATCCTTGACTAACCTTTTCAATGCAAAATATATTACTCTCATGGATATAATGAAAGGATTCCATCAGAACATCGTGGAAATATGTAGCAGGAAATACCTCAGAATTATTTGTCATTTGGGAATCTTTGAATATATAAGGATGCCTTTTGGAATAAAAAATGCTCGAGCTTTCTTTCAAAGAATGATGGATACAGAGTTTTCAAAAGAATTAAGAGAAGGTTGGCTCAAAGTCTATATTGATGACATCATAGTTTTTCATACCACATGGGAAGAGCATCTAGAAGCAATGGAGAAAGTATTGCTAAGAGCCAAAGCCATGGGTATGACAATATCTTTCAAGAAATGTCACTTTGGTTTTGAGGAATGCAAAGCTCTAGGTCACCGTGTATCAGGACTATGGGTAGCAGTGGACCAGAACTCCGTAGCAGCAGTACTACAAAAACCTTGCCCTAAAGACAAGCAAGAATTAAGCTCATTCTTAGGATTTACAAGCTACTACAGAGCCCACATTCCAAACTTTGGGATCATTACTTGTAGTCCCTACAAACTATATGCTAAAGGTGTAGTATTTGAAATGACAAAGGAAAGAATTGATGCAGTGAATAAAATAAAACAAATACTTACAACAGCACCAATCTTGTTTCACCCTGACTTTGAGAAACCTTTTAAACTTTATGTTGATGCATCAATTGAAGGTTTGGGAGCAGCACTCCATCAAACACAAATAATTGATGGGAAACCAAAAGAAGGCCCTATTGTTTTTATATTCAGAAAATTAACAGACACTGAGAGTAGATATTCTTCACCTCAGCTAGAAGCTCTAGCACTAGTTTGGGCATTAGAAAAATTACACTACTACCTTGACGGCAGCTACTTTGAGGTAATAACAGATTGTACAGGAGTAAGATCTCTGACAAATCTCAAATCTCCAAGCAGACACATGTTGAGATGGATGATGGAAATACAAGAGTATAAACCATTCATGAAAATTACTCATAGACCAGGAAAATTCCACAATAACGCTGATGGCCTAAGTAGAATGGCATTACCAAATGATTCCAGCAATCCGGCATGGGAACCTGAAGAAATGGAGAGAGATATTCCTGTAATGGGAATCAGTTTATGTGAATTGTCTGAAGAATTTTTTGATGAAGTAAAGACTAGTTATCAAAAGAATAGTAACACAGCCAAACTTACCAGATTATTGTCTGCACAGAACACTGATCTAAGCCTGTCAAGCACACTCAAACAACCTTGGAAAGATGGGCTAGCTCAAGGAAAAATCTCACTTGAATCTGACCTACTATATTTTAGAGAAAAGCATACTGCAAACCTAGTAATAATAAATGCTGACCACATCCAACAAACATTGCACGTATGCCATGATGAGTTGATGTCGGGGCATCTCTCAGAAGACCGGACAGTAGACAGAATCAAAAGCACAGCTTGGTGGCCAAATTGGAGACAAGACGTAGAAGTATATGTGAAGACTTGTGAAAGATGCCAAAAAGCAAATAAAGCCACGGGGAAAAGATTTGGTTTACTTCAAATAATAGAAGAACCAACATACGCATGGGAAGTCATTAACATGGATTTTGTTACTGGTCTTCCAGCATCATTAATTAACAATTAACAAATGTGTATAGGACATTGTAGACAGATTTTCAAAAAGAACCAGGTTCTTACCATGCTACAAAGAGGCAACAGCAATGGATATTGCATTACTATTCTGGGAAAGAATAATTAGTGATGTGGGATTACCATGAATAATCATCAGTGACAGAGATCCAAAATTTACTTCTGAATTTTGGCAAAGTCTGCATACACTTATTGCGAAAACATTAGCTCTTTCCTCTGCGTACCATCCACAGACTGATGGTCTCAGTGAAAGAAATATTAGTACCTTAACTGAAATTATCAGGAGATATTGCACGGAAGGACTCTGTTACACAGACAAGGATGGACATACACATGACTGGCACACATTACTACCAGCCCTAGAATTAGCATATAATAGCAGCATACATAGCACAACAGGAAAAAGCCTTTTGAAGTAGAAAGAGGCTATTGTCCTAGATTACCAAAAGACCAGATAAAAAATAAAAATGTTGAATTTCATCCAACTTCCTTGAGTTTCTTTGATATGCTTGGTAAAGCAAGAGCTAGGGCAGCGCAATGTATTGAAGATTCTGTAACTTACAATCAAGAAAGGTGGAATAAAACCCATAAAGAACCTAAGTTTGTAGTAGGTGAACAAGTTTTACTCTCCACCACAAATTTTACTAATCTTCAAGGACCTAAGAAACTTCAAGACCAATTTGTTGGACCTTTCGTAATACTAAAATTCCATGGAAGCAATGCAGTAGAAGTAGAATTGACAGAAGAATTTGGGAGAAAACACCCAGTATTCTCAATTTCACTAATAAAAAAATTTCATGCTTCAGATAAAAGCAAATTCCCTGACAGATAAATACCCAAGAAAACTCCTATCAGGTTTGAAACTGACGGAGAAAAGATTTTCTCACATATCATAAAGCAAAGGGAAATACAAGTCAATGGTAAATCTTCAACACTTTATCTTGTAAGATACAAAAACAGAAGTGCAGATGAAGATGAGTGGCTACCAGCCAATAAATTACCCAATGGCAAAACAACATTGAGAGACTCCAGAGCGCAAAAAAGAGCTCATAAACCTTCTGAAAAGAAGTAATGACCTCCTTTGAGGGTGGGGAATGTCAGCCCTGGGTACATATACATGTACCCAAAACTATCTTATAATACAGAACTCCCACTTATAAACCTAATTACATGTACATACAGCTTATAAAACACATGTAATATATAATAAAACATATAAAAACATCAATTACATATGTATATATATTTAAAAACATATGTAACATGTAACAAAATACCAATCAAACCTCATAACTCAGTGTCAAGAGTTAAAATGCTTATACTACATAAATTACATAACACGTATATGTAATTATGTAATATGAATAATAATAATAATAATTAATAGTAACCATTAAACCCTAAACCATAGTAATGATACAATCAAATATCACTACTATTAGGTTTGGAGAGGAGAGTATATAAACCCCTCCTCTCTCAGCCTTCAAAGACTTTCCCTCAAGAATTTTATTACACACCTCTTTCAAAAAACCCTTTAAAGTTCATTTGAAGTACATAATCAAAAGTCTTATAATAATAAGACTAGTGATTTACTTCATATCTTTAAAGCAGCTTCCTGACTAAAAGATAAAGTAATCTCTTCCTTCCCCCTTCTGGATCCTCTACTTTCCCTAAGTAGAACATCTCTAGGTTAGTGACCTTCCAATTAAATTCAAGGTTAGTTACCTCTTGAACAACTACAGGTTAGTGACCTATATCAACTCACAGGTTGGTGTACCTTCTGAATAACCGTAGGTCAGTGACCTATATCAACTCTCAGGTTGGTGTACCTTCTGAACAACCATAAGTTGGTGACTTTGTAACAACCAGATTAGTGACTCTATACCTCACTCTTTAATCTGTTACCTTAAAGATTAAAGGAAGGCTTTGGATCCAGCCTTCTCATATCATAATATTTATTAAATTATACTCAAACCTCCTTCTTAAGGAGTCACCTAACTGAAGTCTGTCTGGATTCATCCAAACAGACTGTTGGTCCTTTTCCTTCCTTCTTTTTACTCTTTTACTAGAGACCATGCGGGCATGCCCGCACCAGATCAATTGGGAAGTCACTTAAAACCTCTACCACATCTTTCAAAAAGTGACCTATTTCTAAATAACATACAACATGGAGTCAATTGGTTGATTAAGAGGACCTCATTTGTTCAGCTGTGGCTTTCCAGGGATTTTCATACCCAAATAGACTTTTTTTTCAATGCTGTAATTTGAATGTAAAGGGTAAATATCTCACCATTCTCGCAAGCAGTTTAACAAGTCATGTTGATGCACACAATTTCTATATGGTATCAATGAACTTAAAAAACATTTTCAAACAATTTGATTATCAAAATACACTTATAGTTCACCTCCTAGCTCATGGATAAGTGAGGCGTCTGTAAACCTCAAATCCAACTTTTCCATAAGTAAAAAAGTTCAAAATTGAGTCAGGTGAGCGCAATTATGAGTTTGATACCTCCAAAAGATGTGATTTTAATGTAAAACCCGCACTTTGCTACAATTTGCTGGAGTGCAACAGTAACATTTTGATATTTTGATTGAACATTTCCACTCAATAAATCTTCCATTGGTGTGTAAACTTGACTATCAGTTCCCTTTGCTTCTCTGCTTGACATACTTAGAATCCTTGCAAACAGGCAACATGGCAATGTTAGGATTACAAGAAGCTACTCATCTAATGGTCAGTCAATATAATTGGCTTGGGACAATTTTTTTGGTGAGCTTTTTCACCATATCCCTATTTCTGGGAATCTTAAAAGTTTGCTCACTGACCATGCATATTACAACACGCCAGACCAACAATCTTGGAATGGAGAGTATCTTATCTACTCTTCAAGTATCCACAAAACCTAGCCCTTCAACGTTTTCTAGTAGGAAAATTGATATCTCTCAATGTGTTTGCTTGGGCTATATTTGTTGCCTTACAAGCAGTGTGTGAATATTTCATCCAATTTTCCATGGGTAAAGCTACCTTTCCCGGTGAAATCCAGATTCTGTATATCTCATCTTCATGGGCAAAACTAATAAACATATGGGAATTTATCCTAATCTATTGTTGCATGAAATTGATTTTTCTTTTAACACTTATCAATGAGATGATTGATAGAGTTGTAAAAACTTTATCCAATTATTCTTTTGCAGGTTTTTCTTGGGGGCTTGTGAGGGTTGTGCCACAGCCGGTTTTATGATGACCACATCAATGTTAGTCAATTCTTTCCTGTTTCACAAGCACTGACTATTTCTTTTTTGATAGGATATGTCAAGATAATGAACCTTTTTGACTCAATGTATGATTAAAACAGGTTTTATACACATCATGAGCAAGGCATCCGGACGGGCTTTTGGTTTTTGATGTCTGTCAGTTATTTTATTTAATTTCCAAAGACACGTTTTTTTACCGGGTTTGATTTGTGTTGCTCAGTCCATGGTGCATCACATTTTTAGGGTTTGTTGGTGGCCACTGGAAGCTTCATTAGCTATGGAGTACTTCATATCGAGCCATCAATTGTGATCCTCGTTGTTCTCCATTCATGTCTTTCCATGTGCTTGGATTTTGAAAACTCGGCATAGACTTTTCAATGGTGCATTGAAGGAACCCAAAGGAACAAAGTCCTTTAGATATTATAACTGACAGACTTTAAACTTCTTTCTTTAACCAACAGATGGAACCGTGGCAATGGTTCTTTGTCATCATTGGAATTGTAACATTCTTGGTTTCTGTAGCCCTTTATCTTTTCTTTCCTGATTCACCTACCACCACTTGGTTATTGACTCCAGAAGAAATGATCAAGGATGTATCAAGACTAAGAGTCAATTGCACTGGTGTTAGTAGCCTGATTATGTGTTCTTATATGTTTGAGATATGTAGAACTGATACAGAAGAAGCAATTAATTTAGATTGAGAATAAGAAATTCAAAAAATATTTAGCAATTGAAGCTTTTAAAGACCCAAGGACTTGGATGTGGGTTACTTATTGCATACTGGCCACTATTCCTAACATCTCTCATCAACAAGCATTGATTGTGAGTGAAGGTTGTCCTGTCAAAATTGCTGTATTCTTCAAGAAGTAACAAAAGAGGTACATCAACAAGAATGTATGATGATGATGATATAGGTGATTGATAAACCACGCCGACATAAAAGTGAATTTGACACCGGATTTCTTTAGCTCGGATTATTCAAGATTTGTCTGGAGGTCATACAGTTTGGAGCGACCTGTAAAGGCTTCAGGAAGACTCTGAACCGTTCTGAAGCTGGTATCTGGTGTGTACGCAAGTTGGTGTCATCCCTTTGATTCGGTCCAAACCAATCTGACGCCCGCTTCCTGCGTGTGTGACGCCGAGTTCAGACATCAGCATTAGAGGTTAGATTCTTGGCAGCTTGTGGCTTGTTTGCATGCACAAGGATCGATTATTCGATGTGCAAATCAATTATTTGATGTGTTCACTTGAAAGCAAGTTCATCAATTGTTTGATGTGTTACCCTTGAAAGCTTAAGATTGCCTGAGATGCAAAAACAAGGGCAGCAGAAGCGAAAGGAGAGAAGAGATTGCTTATGTTGGGGCATTATAGGTTGTGGATTTTGCATTTCAACGACATACATCTTAACAGACCTTGGTACATAGGTGCTTTCAGCGAGTGGACTTCACTCAATAGTTATCATTTGTTGGCTGGAAACATAGCCATCCCATATGCTCGAGAGCTCTCAAGCGTATCTTCAGCTTTAGGGTCCTAAATAGATACCTTGAGATCCTCCGCAATGAGTCTCAAAGAAACGTCAATTTGATCATTACAAGCAAAGTAGTAATTGTGCGGATAAGATGTAGGTAACTGTGATGGATCAATGTCTGGGAAAAAGTGATTGAAAAGGTCTTGATTGTTGTAGGAATCACGATATTGATCAGTATTGGAGATCATTGGATCAGGTCTTGGATTTCTTTGATTGTGATGATGCAGGCAGTGGGGGTGTTGTGGTTTGGAATGGATTATATGAGAGTAGCAACTCACGAATTCTGTCACTGACTCTCCCCTATGGTACATAATATGAGCAGTAAGAAGGGGTACAAGCCTTTTGCTTTCTTTCTCAATCACGGTGTCAACCTTTTGAAAAGTGGGCGTCACTGCTATTTTAACCCAATGTGAAAGAGATAACATTCAGTCGCAATCCAAAAAACCGGCTTCAGACTTTCACGGAAGTCACTACAGCTTCACAGCTACCGCATGGCTGTTTCAGACGTGCAGTGTACCTGTATGACCTCCAGACAAATCTGGAATAATCCGAGCTAAGGAAATCCGGTGTCAAATTCACTTTTATGTCGACGTGGTTTATCAATCGCCATGATATAATCACATCCTGATCTTATGATTACGATAGATAAAAGCCATTGGTTATGATGTGTTCCAAACCAGTCTCTTAAATTCAGTGATTGGCTTTGTACAAAGCTCAGCTATCCTTCTTGGTGTAGCCTTGGTTCGTTTTTTCAAAGACTCGAGATCAAATGTGGCTGGTGAGTTATGTCACTCAAAAGCACTTCCCATCTTCTTCTCCGTTCAAACATCCATCTGGTAAATTCATTCTGATCATCAATACTTCCAATAGTGGAAATGTCGACTGTCAATTTAATCGGAGCGGTCTATTTGATTGTCTTACCCTGGTCAAATGTTGTAGGACTTCTCTTAGCTATTTGTTTGAATTGTGTTTCCATATATTGAATCTATATTTCCCAATTGTAGAACACATTACAGTCCAGGCTTTTGTCCATGACGGTATGAACAAAGCAATCGGAGTTAAAGACAAAACAAGGACTTGTAGGCGACCAATTAGAATAGTAAAAGATAAAAGACAATAATAAAGGTAGTTTTATAATGAGTTGATAAGTTAAGAGAAACTTAGTTTGGGAGGGGTAGATTGGTTTGGATGATTCAAAAAATCAGATACCACAGGTCTATTTATAGGGTTGAAATGAACACAGGTTGAAAGCAGGGAACACAACATTCGGAGTAAGTGATGGAAAAGCTCGGGATTTGAAAAGGCATTATAAAAAGCTCACGATTGCAGTTTAACGCGCACAAAGGGGTTTCAGGTCGCCAGCACAAAGGGATTGCAGGTCACTGGAACAAAAAAATTACAATTGACATTAGAAAAGCAGCAAAATGGCGAGAAAAAGGAGCCGGAGCCAAGAGGATCAAACGGTATTGAGCGGTCCTTCATGCGGGTGGCTTGTACGTATTTATATTTTAGATTCTTATTGTATTTACAAATTACTATTTGCAATACATATATTTAAATAAAAAGACCCATCTGAATTCCCATTAGTGAGCTTAGAGTACTCCAAAAGGATACCCTATCCTCACAGATCTGCCACCAGGCTTCACCGAAGTTGACAGTCTTCCAGGGGTTTTTCTGTGCCTTGCTTGCGGTGGAAACTGCAACATCAAGCTGTCTTCGGTTTGAAGGCACTGTCAAAACCAAAGTCATTTAGACAATCTCCGCCAATAGAATGTTTGTCCAATCACTGCGTCATCCCCAAACGACAATCACAAGGATTCCGACTCAAACGTCTCACCTGAGCCAGATTTGGACCCAGAGTTTCCAAGTCCAATTGTTGCGGCTCAAATCATAGACTCAGAAGACAAAGAAGATAGAAGACAATATAACTCACGCCAAAACACAATCATGGATCTTTGGACTCAAGATCAATCTGGAGTTTTTGAAAACTTATCTCGAAATCATGATCACATCAATGATGACGATGACGATGACGACGACGACCCACATCTCAGAAGTGAAGGATCCGATCATCTGTCAGACAGCTCAGCACAAGAAATAATTGTGGATGATAATGAGTCACCTTGGGCACCTTTCTCAAGTTTAGAGCAAATTGTTGGTTTATTGGTACTGGGAACCACCCGGACAACAATGACAGTCAGCGAATACAAAAATGTCTGATCTTTTATTGGCTTCTTGGATGTTCACCTGCCTGGATACAAAAGCCTTTGAAACATTTGTGAGAAACTGAAGAAACGCTATGGGTTTGATGTTTCCAAAAGTGTCAGCCCTTTGGGGACACCTTGTTTTGCGTTAAAAGTCAAGCAAATCCTATCACAAGAGTTAGGCAATCCTCATGTTGCTGAGCATTTGCAGTTCATTCCCGAATTACCAAGCACGACATCCAAAATCAATTGCCTAGCTCAGTCAAAGAAATGGAGGGAAGAGCTTGACAGGGATCTACGCCTTCAGATGATCGATCTACCAGGACATTTCTATATATTCGAACATGTTCAACTTCTTTCCAAATCTATTGTCATTCCACAATTTTTCCATCAAGAGGGGACAGAGATCTTTGCAAAATGTGCCGTTGCACACCAATCTTTTTCAAAGGATCAGGAAGGCAACCCACATAGACGCTTGTGCTTCGCATCAGCTTCGAATTTCGACTCGCCGGCCTTATCAGGAATCAATGTGAAGCAGTTCTTGAAAGTTTTTGATAAGATTGAAGTACACAATGATGTCTCAATGAAGCGTTTCTGTGGTGATTCAATGTATGGTGAGCTTTTATTCAATAGTCAATGAATATTCCACTTTGTACTTATCAATTTGCCTTCCAGAGGATGTTGAAGCAGGAAAGTTTTTGAAAGTGCCACTTCAGAATCCGTGGCGCAAAAAGGCTGATGTCAAACTGATAGGACATGTTCCCATTGTTTTGTATTGCAACAATCCATCCGGAAATATATGAAAACGGTGGAACAAGCACATTGCGTTCTATTTTACATTGGCCGGCTTGCCTCCAAAATTATTTAATCAAGAATACAACTGCCATTTCTTGACAACATCAAACACCGCCGGAGCGTTAAAGTTAGCCGACCCTGTGGTAGATGAACTCAAGTAAGCTGTTTCTGCTTTTTGTAACCTTTCATTTCGTGATGATGGGAATTAATGCATTGCGTCTGTGTGGGGTCCAGTGATATTTCAACACATGGATTTGTGGCCTATGATCATCAGACACAGACAGAAGTCTTGGTAATGACTGCTGTACTGTGTCATTTGGGTGATTCTCCAATGCATGTGGAGGTCACCAATACCATGAACCCAACAGTTTCTTTATCTCCTTGTTGTGTTTGTGACTTGAAGGTTGAAACCTTGCTTAAGAAAAGGTCCGCGACATATGTCAGTAATTTTGTTGGTGTTGATGAACATGGACACAAGGTACTTTTCCGTCATTCAGAAAACTCTCCCACCTTTGTTGATTTCCAATATGTTTCTGAATGACAGTTGTGTCTGCCTGCGCGGAGCTGGTCAACGACAAAGGAAGGTACACACGACCTCTGGACACTGGCACAAGGCCCAGGAACAATCAGCGCATTTGACACTGAGTCAGGATGGCTGGGTCTTCGAGACACCCTTAATGCAACATTTGTTAAACGCGTGCAAGAATGGTTTCGTTCTAAGAAGTACTCAAATGAAGAGATGCACGAAATGTGTGACGACCTCAACAAAAAATTTGGGGAGCACTTGTTCAATCCCTTTCTGCGTTTAAAAGGTAAGTCAGGAGGAATTTAAAGTTTTCTCTTTAAATTGAACTCGTTGATTGGCTAACCTTTGTGGTGTAGGATTCAATGGCCATCGAGATACGCCTGTGGAAATTTTGCACGTTATTTTGTTGGGCGTGGCAAAATACCTATTACATCATCAGATGCAGAGCTGCTCTGCTAGCAAAAAGAACGACATTTGGGGTTGTTGGCAATCTTTCAAGACATCTGGGTTGAATATCCCTCCGATCCAGCCCAAGGCCATGATCAATCATTTTCTTGGTATGACTGGCAAGGAGTTCCGCACAGTACTCCAAGCGGTGCCGTTAATTTTTTTTCAATGTTCATCATCCGAAGAAGAACGTGAAACTTGGACAACATTATCCCACTTGGCACCCTATATGTTTCAGACCAAGATTTCTGACATGAAGTCATACCTCAAGGAACTCGGCATCTTAATTCAAAGGTCCCTTCGGTCAATTGTACAATTGACGGCTAAATGGTGCAACAAACCAAAGTTCCATATGCTGATCCACATCTGCGAATCCATTGGACGGTACGGTCCTGCATGCTTGTGTGCCACTGAAAACTTTGAGGGATACAACGGTAACACACGCAATTCTTCAATTCATTCAAATCATTTGAGTCCTAGCAAAGACATTGCAAATTCATTCAATAATCACCGATTGATCAGATCAATCACAGCAGGTTGTCTGAACCGTGGAAAGAATCTGGACTGTTACGTCCGTGCTGGAAGTAAAGTCATTGAATTATTTAAAACTAATACCTTGTTTCAAAAGGCGCTAGGCTATAATTCCAAGTGGAATGAACCAAAAGATTTCAAAAGTGGATGTGAGACACAGCACATTCATTTTGATTGACAGATTAACAGACATGCTGATTCCGCTCTTCATTATAGATGCTCACCCATAACAACCTTCAGATCCCGAGTCACACATCCCTAACGCGATTTTGGAAGCCGATCTGTCTAAGAAATGGAACCTTTTGGCTTCACTTACGTTGAAGAATGGCCGATCTTTTGGAGGAGGTGACTTCATTTTGGTATATTCCTTCTTCTGAGCCATCTCATATAAACACAACCTTCAAGGTTTTCACAATGATGTCTCTTAACCTTCCACCACACCTTTCAGGTCAAATCACAACATCTGCTCACAAGATTTACGTCAAACAAGATGATTGGCAGGGTCAACAGAATATGGATTGCTGGGGGTTCATCAGCGCACAAGTGCAAGATTGAAGTGTCAAGGTGTAAGACTGGATCAGTCAGTGATCTATATGGCATGTGCGAAATTCAAGAAACGGATTCAAAGGTGTGGATAAATCCAATGGTAAGGCTCTGTGTGGATTCCTCTCAATAATAAGGACGTGGGACTGACTTTGACCGGGTTAGGACATTGAGGGTATACTCAATATACAACACCACTGCCACAAAAGTGGCTGCACTGTTAAAAAGGACAGGCCGGTGATGATTGAAAGACGAGTTTCAACACTACGGGAATTTGTTGTCGTTCACGAAGAGACAGCATTCTTTGTCCTAAACTCGGCTGCCTTTTATTCTTCAGAACTACATCGTTATTGGACAAATATCAGATTTAACGCGGTCAGTCCCTCAGAATGGAGAGACACAATATCAACTGGTGTAAACAATTGGGAAGCTTCGTTGAGGAAAAAACAAGATCAAAAGGAACTGAAGGAACAAAAACAAAAGGACCAAGAAGAAAAAAGACAAAATGTGCAGACCAGTAAGAAGAGAAAGGGAAATATCAACGCTGGGGAAGCAGAGCAACAATCTGGACCAGTGGCAGGCCCTTCAAATACAAAGCAAAAGTAACGGAGATAACAATAATGACGGTTTCAATTTTTGATGTCCTTTAATGTGCTTTTCTGTTATTCTTAATTTCTGAAACATGTTCACTTTTCTTTATTTGGTATTGATATATAATGTTTGTGGAGGATTTATTTACATTCTTATTATGATTAAAAATGAAATGCAATCAAGGTGTTCTTGTTATCATTGTGCTATTCTGCTTGAGATATTCCGAAAGGACCTTGTCAAATTTTCATGATGTGCTCAAAATGAACCGTGTGTCACACACGGCTGTCACAAGCAACTGAGTGACAGTTGTCTGAATCTGAAACCTTCATTGGCTTTCCTCAATCATCTTTTCTTTGTCACTTTCGTCATTGTCACACCCCAACTTCCACCCTTTCTCAGAACTTCTGATGTCTCAACGCCAACAATGGTTTTTCCCCGCGCCTCCAAAGAGCCAGACGCAAAACTCCAATGCGGCTCCGCTTCTGGTTCCATCAACTTCTCAAGTTTTGAACAAGCGCCGCATCAGCGAGCGCACCAAGGCAGCAGCTGAAGTTGAAGAAACCTCTTCAAAGCACGTCAAAACCACGCCGGCGACCAAAACAAAGCAAATCACTTCTGTAAAGAAAGCGAAGCAAACCCAACCGACCTCCGGCAAATCGAAGAGTCAAGCAAGCAAGGCAAATCAATCTACCAAAGGTAAACAACGCAAGGTTACGCCGCCTCGTACTCCGACTCCCACACCCACTCCCTCACACAACCGTGATCGTGAAGGTTTGCGTGAGGCTACTGCACCTCGATCTGATGGGGGAAAAGAAACCCAACTCAAACTCGATCAGTTTCATGGTCTTCTTGGACCGGAGCCTATGGGTGATATTCGTAATCAACCTTTTCCTTTCTTCTTTCTGTCGTTGAGTAACTGTTACTGATTGATTACTTCATAGGAGGCCGCCACGAGTATGGAGAAGATGATTACGTCGACAAGCACGGCAATGATCTTCACCCCATCACCGACAACTCGGGCCAACAATGTCGTATAATACCTTGTGGCTTTGCCCCTTTGCAGGGTTCAAGACTACAGAGTTTCAACTACTACACTCAACGTGCGCACCTCGACAATCATCACTTAGCATTTGGACGGCAGTTATGCAACATAAGTCATGCTGATGCCTTGTCTTGACCCTACTGACTGAGTCTGTCTTGTCTTCTCTTCCTTTTTGTTTGTAGGCTGGAACTCCGGAGGATTGCTTCATGGCCTCCATGGCACTAGGTCTATCAAATCGCCAACATATGACCTCCATACAGAACGAACTCACCCGCCAAATCACTGGGCTAAGGGATCTTGTTTCTAAAATGCCTGCTGGCGCGGCTAGTACTGGTACTGCAGCGGCAGCTGCACCATGGCTTTCCAAAGAAGATTCTATAGAACTCCGGGTTTGTATGACACCATTTTTGTGTTGTGAACAGGCCTTAGCTGACTTATATCTTCACCGAAATCACTCCGCCAGATTGCGACCAAGAACATCTTGCGAGGTGACCTGCAGGCGTATACTGCAACTAAAGACAAGCTGGGAGACAAGATCACATTACCCTTGTCTCTTTATGCTACGGTCATGGTAAGCAGCCTCTATCTGAACTATATATTCTGTACTGACTGACTCTGGGCAGTGATTAGGATTCAATCATGTCGAATCCTGACAAGTGGAAGAAACGGTTGCTGCCACCTGGGTACGGCAAGAATCCCAAAGTCACTCATGTCAAATCATACAAGACTCTTGTCAATAATGGACTGAAGGAAGTACGAAAAGAGTTTGAAGGCATTGTAAGCTTTTCATTATTTCTTTGCATATCCAATCTGACACTACTTTTGCACGTTCTCCAGCTTCTTGAGAATATCAACTTGCCAAGTCAAAATGCCAGCACGGGTGTTGGGCCTATACCCACACTCAATGGAATTATCGCCAATGTGATTAGCCGTTGCTAGGCCCTGATCAATTAACCTCGTCAAAAGCTCACCCTCACCCCTGGCCATTGGTAGCTTCACGACAAAGAGTTTGGTCAAATTGGTGGCCGTGTCCCTGTCCGTGACGAAGTCTTTGAACAAGTGGGCCATTTGCAAAAGGCTTGATATGCTTATCTGGTACGCAAGATTTTTAAGGATGAATTCCTTGATAATGAAACTACTAATGGTGGTTCTTTTTCAGCGGTTGCAAGCCTGCCATTGGGGCTTTTACAAGGTTGAATACAAGGACGGTGCAAGCCTGTGGAGCGTTGTCGACAAAAAATTGGAATATTTGCGGGATCAGTCCAGCAGGTACCGACACGCGTAAGTCTTCACTTTCCTGTGTATGACAATAAGCATATTCATTTTGTATTTGTCCCAGGTTTGCAATCCTGTGTTTGACTGAGGACAGCGAGATATTTGGCAACAAGAAGACCTTAGAAGAGACCTTAGAGTTGACCTCCTTCCCAGTGCCTGACAAAACCGCTATCCGTGACGTCATTAAACATATTGACAAAACCTGGGGCAAAACTGTACCAGAGGAAGAGGCTCTTCATCAAATAAAAAGACCTGCAGGGAAACATGATGGCAAAGAGGACGAGGACAAGCAAGAGGAAGAGGACGAGCAAGAAGAGGACGAGCAAGAGCAAGAGGAAGAGGAAGAGGAAGAGGAAGAGAATGAGGACAAGGACCAGGACCAGGACCAGGACGAGTAAGACCTTTATCCTTGATTTACATCACATATGTATGTCAATTGTCTGCCACTTCAAGGTAAAATATTAGATTTTTAATTATTATCATCTTCTCAATGTATCATTTCATTGTTTTATCTATTTTATTGTTAACTTTGTATTCATAATGTACATGCAAATAAAATGCCGTGTTCGTTTTACAACTTCATTACCGTAGATTTGAGAGCCAGAGCACGACTAGACCCAGTAAAGCAGAAAAATGTGGGCTGCGTGCAAGCCCAGCAAAAAACCCTCTAAACCGCTTATAAACTTGCCTGACACAGGTTGTGACCCTGCAAAAGTACAGGTGCTAAACTGGTGTTGGAAACACGGTTTGTAAGCGGATAGGTGGAGCATGGTTGGAAAGCGGTTTTTGGCCACCATGCCATTTTGGTTGATCAACCAAAAAGAAAAACCCGCTGATCAACCGGTTTGGAGGGGTCGTGGTGTAGAGGGATGAAGGACTTCAGACCTTTCAATTTCACGGTTAAGTGAGGGGAGAGCGGAGTGATGGCGTCTCCCATTTTAGCAGGACCTGATTGTAGGACTCGACCATTATGGATCATATCGCCGTTCAATAAGGTGAGGGAACCTTTATTGGATGCCAACAGGGACCTTCCTTTTTCTGACTCTTCTTGACTTTTACAGCCATGGAACCATTCGTCGGTCTGGTCTGGAGTTGGGTTGGACTTGGCAGGGGCCAACATGTGCACGTCTAACGGAGGTTGGCGTTGAGTCTCCATAACAAATGTTACACTTGGCGCTTTTGGATGTGGCTCTGCCACTAGGATTGACCTGACGTTGGCTTCATCCTCTGAAGACTTGGACAACTCCTTGTCCATTACGTAAGGATTTTCAGGATCTCTTTCGCCGTCTTCCCGATTTAACCTCTGAGTTAGAAGTCTTGCTCCGGCTTCATCGTTTTGGTCATAAGCGTCTTGAATCAGCTCCACTAAGGCTTCTCGTCTAGCCTCTGAAAACGACGATCAAGAGAACCCTTTTGACCATCAGCGCTCGATTACTCTTTACGATCTTTGGAGTCTTAAGAGGGGGGATTTTTGTAACGGAGTTCTGCGTATTGTAAGCCCAAGTTGGCTGGGTCTTATCATGAGCCAGACCAGGCATGGTGCCTACTGTAAGCGGACCCAGGCTGGGCGCCTATTAGCAGCTGGGCCAGGCTTTAACGTCCATATTGATTTGTCAATTTCCACGTGGCTCCAGGTGAAACAAACTTATCGAACAAGAGATTTGATAGGAGTAGAAGTGGAGAAGGAGAAGTAGAAGGTACAACGATTAATCAGTGAGTGTGTTCTTACCCTTTCTGATCCGGTTATTTATTTCATCGATATCTCTCTGATCATAGCTTTGATCTTGCTCTTCTTCCACTTCCTCTCTTATTCCTCCCCATTCTTGGTCTTCTTCTCTTATCTCTTGGTTTCTTCATGGTACATGCGACCAATTTTCTTTACTGTCTTGATTTTCCAATCTGTTTTCGTTTTGCCTGTCCTGACGATTCCTTCTTGGTGTCACTAGTCTTTCTTCCAACTGAGCTCCTGTTGCTGCTGCTTCCACCCTAGTCAATCTATGTTGTCAATTATTTGCAGCCCTGTTTATTTGATTCCTAAATGCCATTTTGTTTATAGTTGAATTGTGTTGAATTGTTCAAGTTATAATCTGAACTGCTTTGAATGAGATTTGTAAAAGATTAAAAGACGAGTTCTAGAGCAGAAGCAAATGAGCACAGCGGAAATAGTTGCTGTGAAAAGGACTAATAAGGAATAGTGTGAAAATGAGGAAGGTTAGAGTTTGAAATCTTCAGATCTCAGATTTCAAATTCTAACTTTGGGAATCTGAATGGTTTGTCCTTTCACACACTTGCCCTCAGCCTTTCACACGAATGGACTATGTCACCACTTTGTGCCTTGTGGTGTCTTCAATCAATCAATCAACCCAAAAAAAACAGAAACTAAAGAACCAAACTCACATTTCAATAAACCCACTAGTATCAATCGGTTCAAATCAACCTCTCTCATCCATACTACTGTCTCTAGCATCATAAAGTCCTTTATCCAATACTCTACCATCAGTAATCACATTCCCTTTATAAAGTGACAATTTGACTTTGCCATTCACGATCTTCTTACTTGCATGGAAACAAGACTGAATGAATTCACGTTGTAGAACTCCTATGCAGTGTAGCGTAGGCTGAGCCAGATAGGGGGAGAATCACCACTTGTGAGAGCGGATGAAACTACAGGCGCTGTGAAGCTGCTCTCTAGTAGAGAGCCCTTCAAAACCAATTTTGAGTTTTAAGATGAATGTGACATCTCAATTTCACTTCTTTGTCTTTTTAAGGTTTTCCAAAACCTAGTTTGCACCACGCAGTTTGATGCACAGCATTTGGGAGGAGTCTAACAATACTACACACAACCTTACACAAAGTTGCTGTTAGATCATATGTAAACTTCAATTTGAATAGTTGAGTGTTACACTTGTGTAACACAGTTGTACAGGACTGGAATAAATTCCAGAGCCTGACTCGACCTGGCCTTGACTTGGATCAAGAGGCAGGTTTGGCAAAAATTGATCTTGACTTCACAACATGTAAATTTTAGGCAGTAAAGAGGGGGCCAATGGTTTTGTCGGCGGTGGAGTTTTATCCGGAAGGGAAAGTACTCAGACTCAGGGCCAAATTGTGATTTGGAATTGGTTTATGAGCTGCATGTGAAGGATTGATTGATCAAATTTTGATTAGTTTTCCACATCCTTTAGTTGTTCCTGTTGATAAGGATGATGAACTTGATGATGTTGGATTAGCAAATCGAAAGCCTTTTGGTAAAGTTTGAGGATGTGAAAAGATTGAACAATCAGCTTGGGGTGCACCACAATAAACTAAATAAACATGAATTGAAGATCTAGAGATCAGATCTGATAAATAGGGTGTACCGATATGACTTCTGTCAAATTTCAGAGAGTTTGATAGAAGGTTTCACAGAATGACAGATACCAAAATTTGGCGGGATCTGTTGTTTGTTACAAATATCAAGACAGACAGAGCAACAGAACAACAGATCACACCAAAATTTTGGTTTCTGTTGTTCTGCAAAGCCTTCTGTCAAATTCTCCAAAATTTGACAGAAGCCATATTTGTACACCCTGAAAGAAGTTGAATTAGATCCTTGATTGATCCCACCATTCAAATTATTATTAGCTTGACGTTGTGATCGAATGTTACGTAAAGTGCTCACTAAGTTATGTCATACAGGTTCAGCTGAAAGTGATGGTTGAGGGTTTGGATTGTTGTTGTTGTTATCAGAAGGACAATGATTGGTGGTAAGTTGACGTAATCAATTCATTGCCATTGTTCTATCTAGACCAGCATCAAAATCATTATGCATTTGTTCCACTAAGGCATGTCTCCAATGTGTTGCTTCAGTATTACTCATCAATCTTCTTCTTCTGTTATTAGATAATTGGGTGATTTGATTAGGTCATTCATTTGAGTTTCCTGTTGATCTTGATTGAGGATTTGAATTAAGATCAGTCGTTTGAGGAATAGATGATCTTGGTATCACGTCTTGATTTTCAGTTGATGGATTAGGTTCAGGTATCTCAAAACATTGGAATAAGCCAACATGTTCAATCCTATTATCAAGTCTATCTGTTCTAATTGGAGGATTTGAATCGATAATAAATCATGATGATTGATCATTAGCTTGACGTTCAGGAAGATTATCATAAGGATTTGGTAATCCTAAAGCTTCAGCTATAGTCATAGTATTATGATGAGCAGCTGCTTCTAACAATAATGGATGCGGATCTGATCCTAAATCAATATTATCAATAAAATTAGAATCTCTACCTCTTCTCACTCTAGATTGTTGACCGTTTAGTAATGAAGTGATAAACAATGCAGTGTTTTGATCTGAATCAGAATTGTTTAATAAATCAGATGGTTCTGTAGTTTGTTGATGAATCTGAAATTGATGAAGGTCTACTTGGTTCATTAAGATTAACTGACATCAGATTGTTTTGTGGATCTTGAAAATGAGTATTGAAAGGATCAAGTCCTTGTGAATTTGATGATGGTCTTTGATTGATATCCACTCAATTGGTAGGTGGTGTAGGTGGTAAATGAATAGGAGGTGAAATTGGTTGATTGTTTGTTACTTGACTTCCTTCTTCGGATTGACTTTGAGAAGTTGTAGGTTGAAGGAATTGTAAAAATTGAGTGGGAATTGGTGTTTGAGATTGACAATGTTGTCTAGCTTCTTGTGAGGATTGATTGTATTCTTCTCTTAATCTTGCATTTCTCTCATATATTGAGATTGACCGTTCAGGTTGATTTGTTTGTGATCCAGGTTCAGGAGAAAGTCAATCTTGTGATCTTAATTCAGATGGAGGTCTAACTTCTCTTCTTCTTCTATTGAAATCTTTGATTTCTCTAGCATGAGGTCCAAACATCAAGACTGAGTTTCTGATAGATTGAATTGGATTGGGAGGTGAAGGTATTTGGTTATTTGGAGTCTGTTGTTCTTGTTGTTGTCTTGATCGATCTCTCTGTCTGTTGAGTTGTTGAGTTAGTTCTGGTTGTCTTTGTATCAGATTCTCAATAAATAGTATTTGACTACTTCACTCCATGACTGTTGACTTTGACAAAGACGGTAAAGTGAAATATTTTAAACACCCTTTTAGCTCAACTTGGCTCACCCCAATTGAACCAGACAGAACACTTAAACTAAACTACTTAAGTCTACAAAACTACGTAAATCTAACCCGAATCAAATAATCATCTTCATCCAACACTTCCTTTCACTTATTCCTCCAAACAACATATCCATACCTGAGTTCATGATTCTGGGTCTAAGCAAACAAAAGCAAGTATCCTCAAAATGGTGTGGTTTGAACACTCAGTCAGTACATAAAAGACTCAGTACACTTACAGGTATGTAGCTGGTTTGAATCATTGCCTCCCATAAAATCTCAAATATCATCTGATCAAGCTCTTGAGGATCAGTTGAAAAAACGCAAAACAATTGATATCAAGTCAAGATATGTAGTTCTTTATGAATCCAACTTGAAAAATTCTAGCCAATTTCTGTAATACAAAATCATTCAAGTTGCAATGGAATTACAAATAGCAGAAAACATAAAAGATAGTTGAATTTATGATGATCAAATGATATGATTTGGACTCCAAAAGTTATTGTCTTCAACACTTTTTTCTGTATATCTTATCTCCTTATTAGACAAGTATGCTTTACACTTATTGTTTTGACTTTCACTATTTGAATCAAGGTAAGATATGGCTGTGTTTGACTCACCAACCGGTAGTAATCATTTGGCTGTGCACTTGAATCCCACAATCTTTTTCTTCTTTTTAACCATCCAGAACAACTTGAAATATTCAGGTTTTGTATATATGAGAATTCCATGGATAAACTATCATCATTTCTTTTTTCTTTCTTTCTCTGTACTAAGAAAATAGTTCACTTCAACTAAGAGAATAGTTCACTTTGAATTTTCAAATTAAATCTTTGGTTTGTCTTTTGACATTGAACATTTATCATTTCTTGCTTCATAAATAAGAGTGAATTGATTTTCCTTTAATTTTATACTGTTTTCTCGGGATTTATCTTACTTGTCATGAAGAGGGGTTTTTCTCCAAGACTGGTTTTGAAGATTTTTGGAATTGATCTTTATGTAAATTAAGTTTATTTTAAATAAACCATCTTATAATTCTTTGGACTAATAAACTTGTAAGCTGTAAATCAATCAATTCTGGTTGTTTTGATTTCCTTTTCTTCCAGAAAACAAAAGAGCTGATTTTGACTTTTTTTGATGGTGACCAATGGGTTTCTGGTGAGTATTTGTTTTAGAATCTTCAAAGAAAAATAGTTTATCATTATCATGATCTCATTTATCAGACCTTCTTTATATTTTTCTTTACAATGTTTTTATCTTTATTGCTTCTTTATTTTTTCTCACGAAAATTGTAAAGGTTTCATTGTTAATCAAAAATTCAACAGGTTATTTCTTCAATTTCTTTGTAAATATCTTCTTATCAAGCTTGTATTTTCTCTTTCAAAACATCAGTTTCCTCAGGAGTGTCTATAAATACCATGTGTCTATCTTTTTGATTCTTCATTGTTGTTTTTTGTCAAATGTCTATTTCATGCAATTTGTTATGTGCAATGCTAGATGAATAATATGTTTTGGTTGAGGTAACCTTAAGCCGCCCTTTTAAACAGAAAGAACACCTCAACACTCAGATGCTCTAAGAATGCAAGGACCCAGCATTTTGTAAACATTGGGATAATCTATTGCATAAATATTGGGCAACTCCAATGATGAAACTACATATTGGGGTCCTATGTGATTTGTATAATATATTTGATTGATGCAAACAAATACCCACACTAATGTGAGAGGCTCTCATGAATCTATAGCTGTGGGAGAGGATGCAAAGAATTTATATTTCATTAAAAAAATTACATTTCACTTGAGCATCCGATTCCTTCCTTGTGTGAAAACTTCAAATTCATAAAAGCATTCAATTGCAATATAATAATAAATTTGATTTTTATACATACATATAATCAATTCATGTCTCTATAAGGGGTCTGACTCTGTTGATCCAATCTCACGGAAAGTCAGAAATACAAAACCTGGTAGCCGACATTAGTTTGATTGCCTTTTGGGGTATGATGCGATTGGGGGAAGTTTTCAGGGAGAAGAAGTCCGATGGGGTATTACTGAGACACCATGTCGAATTTGGAGAATCAAAGAAAGGCCGATGGGCAAAGTTGAGACTGAGGAAGGGGAAAACCGCAGCCCCGAACGAGATACAAGTCATCCACCTACAGTCACAACCATCAGTATTAGACCCTGTAAAAGCTCTAGAAAGAATCTTACGTGCAAATCCAGCGAAAGAACAAGACACACCTATCTTCCAAACTTTGAGCGGGATGCTGACAAAGAAGGTCTTCATCAATAACGTAGAGAAGGTTTGGGGAAAGTCCTCATTGGACAAGTGGTCAGGCCTCTCTAAGATCAAACCTGGGAACTTCGGAAGAAACAATTAAAAAAGTTGGGAGGTGGAAGTCCTGTTCTTTCCAGAGATACACCAAGGAGTTCTCGGAAAAAGAGATACGAGAAACAAAGGTCTTCTTAGATGCAATAAGATTATGAGTGGGGGAACGTGGTTGTACGTAACTTGCTGGTGGAAAGGATACAGTAATTGGAGACACCGGCTCTTTAAGCAGAGATAAAACAAGGTTTGGGCTCGACCGAAGAGCCCAGAAGAACAATGTACGTAGAATTTGTGAGAAACCAAGTCTCCAAAAGATTGACGTGAGCCACAGGTTGAACAGCCCTGCAGTAGGAGGGGTTGACCACCAGGCCAAGAACGGCATGGCTGGCCATACCTTCCTCAGAAGTAGGGACAGTGACCAACCACTCCCACGGGAAGACTTAACGAAAGCCAAAGAAACGGAGGCCGTCTCAACAAACCTTGGTCAGGCAAACCACGGTGTTGGTTCTGGTAAGCCAAAGATTTGGTTCGCGTAAACCAAATCGGAGGCACGCTCTGCGCGCTTTCCCAAAACAGCTCCTGCCTCACCTCGTGGCAAGGTAGGAGCAAGGATGGTGAGATATTACTCACACATCACCAACCTATGTGATGATAATCACTCTCCATGTAATATATACATAGAATCTATCAGTGAGCTGAGAGTGGATGTACTACACCAAATAAGGCACGTTTTGGTGGATGTGTCCACGGGTTGTGAACAGAAGGATGACATGTCACAGACAAGCATGTCACGGTACCAGAGGAAGCAGAGATGCAAGATACAGGAAGTTTTTCCTCCCCTGTAGAAAACTTCTCCTAGTCTCCCCTTCTCCTTCTGGTATTAACAACCCTCTTATCTCTCACAGCTCTCACCTTTTTTGCCTAGTTTTAAAATCAGTTAATTTTAAAACACCATCCCACCCACCCGGCGAAATAAGGCTACCATCCTTTTGATCAGAACACGGAGAGGCCGTCTCAACAAACCTTGGTCAGGCAAACCAAGGTGTTGGTTCTGGTAAGCCAAAGATTTGGTTTGCGTAAACCAAATAGGAGGCACGCTCTGCGCGCTTTCCCAAAACAGCTCCTGCCTCACCTCGTGGCAAGGTAGGAGCAAGGATGGTGAGATATTACTCACACATCACCAACCTATGTGATGATAATCACTCTCCATGTAATATATACATAGAATCTATCAGTGAGCTGAGAGTGGATGAAAGGATCCGTCACCGTTCGGCTTGATCTGAAGAATTGAAACTTTGATTGAAGTTCTTTGGTTGTGAAAGGGCCAAACATTCTCTCTGCTTTCACCTCTCCTGCTATGTTTGAATCAATCTTTTCTTGTACTTCAAGTGCTGACCAATGATTAGGTGGACAGAAGAATTTTAGACCTTCTATTTGGTGATCTGGGATTCCTTGATCAAAACCGTACTTAAAACCATCTATGACAAATTGATATTTGGGTAGCAGTCCTTTCTTGAGAAGTTCTTGCTCCCATAGGTTGATATTCATTTTACAGTACGGGCCTTTTGGCCATCTTTCCGAAGTTATGATAGAGGATGCATTATTTTTTTTTGGCTTGGTTGTTGACTCTGCACTACCGTTTTTAACTGTGCTGCTTTTTTGGTTGATGTTTTCTCTCTTGTACTTCTTGTCCTCTTACTCAACTCTTGTAGCTCTCTGTTATAGCAGCAGAAAATGAACCATAAAACAGTTGTAAATCTCTATTTCAATTACATGATACAATTCTGTCTACAAGTTAACTACTATAGACTTATACAATCAAATTGGGGATTAGATCAGGGAACTACATCAGACTGATTGTTAAAGAATTGTACATTCTTCAAATTATACAACTGAAGATTGCTATAACGATGACCAAGAAAAACAGATCATGCTCTTATGAAAGAAGGGAAGATGATGATGCTGACTATGTGATTTCGAGATATAACGGAAAGATGAAGACTGTGTAGACAACGAGAAAAAAACTGTAGTGTTAAAAAAAATTGGAGTACTTTAACACTTACGGTTGGTTTGCTCTACCTCTATGGCTTGAGCCACCTCCTCTACCTCTGCGGATTCCATTTCTACCCCTTTGATCTCTCTTGTCATTTGGTCGGATTTGTTGTGCTGGAGGTAGCATTTCTATTATTTCTGGTAGTCTAGGTACTCTGACTACACGTGGTGCTCTTTGCTGAGACGGATGGTGTGATGAGTTTTGACGTGATGAGCTCTGAGATGTGACGCTTCTTCTCTTACTGTTTCAATGGTTGTCCACATCGTTCCAGCTGCCTGTTATAGGATCACAGTGTTCATATCTTCCGCCTGCTGCGTACGGATTGGTGTTTCCAAAGGACAATTCGCCAGTCTTTCCTGCTCTTTCTTTGGCGAGCTTCTCGTACTTCTCTACATACAGTCCGGCGTCCGGGACTGGTACTCCTTTAGCTCGGTGGGTGAATAACTGCGATCTGAATAGTATGTCGTATCTCAGAGCTACCATCCAGGTCTCCGTAGTGTCTCTGGATACATGGATAAAATTGAATTCAATCATCAGCAACCGGTTGTTATTTTCAATTTTATGGACTTGATCCATACTTGATGTTCTTTATGTGTTTCACGTGGTTTTTCAGTTGATCTGCTAGGATACCAAACTTGTATGTCTTCTTCAGATACTTTCTTAGCAGTGAAATCCCATCAATCCATTCCCCAAAAGTCATTTGGTATTCGGAAGGGGGGTTAAGGCCTCTGTCTAATTGAATCATCGGGTCCATCAATTTGGTTATACTTTTAACGTTACTGAACATTTTCCCACTTACTTCGAGTCTTCTTAGATGATGACGAGGAAGATTGATTCTTGTGACTTTCGTCTTGGTCGTGTTGTACAAAGGTTGGGTTAAGGACTGTTAATGGAACTTTCTCATTGAGTTTCAACATCGCCTCATTCCAGTAGGTTTGGAGGGTTGGTAATAGTGATTTACAAGGTACTCCTGCCTGAAGCTTGAGTCCATTCTGCTTGGATACTTTAGTCTTTTTTGACAAGGATGATTTCTTCTTCTTTCCTGCTTTGCCTTTCCCATGATCTTTCTTTTCTGTAGTGTTTAAAAAAGAAAAAATGTTTTTAAATATGGGCTGTTGTTATGATGGTTGTCTCTAAATTGACTTCATCATTGATGGAATGGACTAACCCTTCATAGCTTGGGATGAATCTTTCTTTTCCAAGTTAAACTTCTCTCTCATCTTGATTGCTTTCTTGACTGCCTTGTCCAGGGACTTTATCGACTTGAGCTTGCCTACATAAATACAACAAATTGTATTTGTTAGCTTCAAGTGATTTACTAGTGGAGGACACCAAACTGGGAGTTGTTGATTCAACTCTTGAAGACGTAAACTTGTCTCTTCCCCTAACGTGGAGGTGCTCTATCAATGGGAGTGGCTACTGTGGAGCTAGGATCTTTTTAAAAGATTGGGTCTTACTTTTTCTATTCTTCTTGTTACTTGAATAAGATGAGTCTGATTTGCTATCAGTTGACAAGGAGTCGTTTGATTCTGTATCTTCATTGGAATCTTTGTCTGATGAGCTTTCTGATGAGCCACCGGATGATGAATTAGAGGAACTTCCAGACGTGCTCTTTGCGGTTGACTCTTCGTTTTCTTCCTCGGAATCGGAGTTGATGAAGTTTACGTTTCAATCATCGTTGTTATGTGAGGCTGACAAATCTGTTATACCCGTGTGGTAGTCTTCCATCTGTCTAGCTATTTTGTCTCTTTGGTTTTCATCAATGGTTTCTCCGTCTAGTTCTTCTTCTTTCTCACCTGAACCTTCCCCGCTAGGGTCATCAGTGCCTTCAATTTCATCCTTGGTTCGTAGATCGACTTGAGGTTGGCCTCCTACTGATGAGGCTGACGGCGGTGGGATTTCTGAGGGGTTTGTAATTGGATCTTCTCCTCTAGCATGTTGAGCTGATCTGTTGTTCACTTGGTGGCTTGACATAGTTATAGATGCTGTCTACTTTATAGTTGGAAACGATAAATTAATTTTTAAAAAAAAGAAAATATAGAGGGTTTAAAGATAAAAACTAAAAATTGGTACGTTTAAAATTTGTACGCTATACAATCACGAAAGTGTTCTGTGTAATTTAATTATAACAATTAGAGAATGTTTAAATTTATTTAGTAATAGGATGTTTTTTCTGGATTTACTGATTTAAAATGGAACGAAAATTTCTTCTTAATATTAGATATTAAGATAGGATTGGAGAAACAATTTCGAGAAGGATCTGTGGAACAGATTGATAATTTCTAAGACGGAAAAGACAGACAGGCAAAGCAGGGGGGGAGTCTGAGGTAAGCATTGTCTTATATTTATGACCCATGGATTTCTCCACGGACTTACTTTAACTGGTGACGCAAGTCTTGGAGTAGGAGGTCTGCTTACTAAAGCTTCCGGAAATCCGTAGATACCCAAGGGGGGAACATTGAGTCGCTTCCGTCTTCCTACCTAATTCGTTCATCGCTCACACTGAGGTACGTTAACATGGACACGCTTTACACATTGGGCCTTGTGAAAAGACTAATGTCGCTGGATCCTGACGTCTTGGGGCAATTGGGTCACTACGTGTTCAGAATCACCGGACAACTCTCGCACAATATCAATTCACTCATGACTTTACCTGGAGGTGACCCTGGTTTCAGACAGATCTTTACGTATGGTGGTGGAGGCAAGCAAGAAGATAGGCTCAGATCACGCCAATCTGAGTTTGATTGGGATCCAGAAATCCTCCTGGCTTTTCAAGACTTCATGTACCTCTAAAGCCCTTATGCCTAGCTTTTGAAATCTGCCCACAACATCTGCAACGGGACTGTGATTAAGATGCTGAGGATCAAGACGATTCTGACTCCGGGTTCTGACGCATGGCGCTATAATTTACCGGCGGCAAGTGATGTTGCAGCTATCATAGACAGCAACGGTACAGTGGGTGAAAAAAGGCAAGATATTATCCTCATGCGTCAATCCGGAGTCAGGAAGAGGATATCAGAGCTGCATACCGGTTATTTTGCGCTACGATATCCGCTTTTATTCCTTTACAGTTCTCAAATGTGGCATGATTTGTTTCAAAATCCAACTCCATCAAGTAAGTAGCTTTGTGGCAATATCAGACATGTGAATGAGGAGTAATTGATTAAGTGACTATTAATTAATCGTGTTGTTGCAGATCCGGAGGGTGATGTCTCCAATCTGGATTGGTTTGCCTATTTTTGGTTCAGGCGTCCAGAGTCGTCTGTGATTCTAGCATCTGGTGGTCTATTTCAGGAGTTTTCGGTAGACATGTACATGTGCGTGGAACGGTCAAGGCTGCAATACCTTTGATATCATCAAAAGGAAATTTGGGCAGAGATGTACAGCGGAGCCATAGAGGCTTTGGGGAATGAGGTGGATGATACAGTGCTTGGGTGTTGTATTGTATTGCCTTTGAGTTTCCGAGGAGGACCGCGGCACTTGCAGCAACTATATCAAGATTCTATGAGCTTAGTTGCCAAGTATGGGAATCCAAGTTTATTTGTGACCATGACTGTGAATCCACGTCTTTCAGGACCCCATTGCTGCCACTGCCTTACACGACTGCTTCAGCTTCCAACTACCCTCGACAAGAGTATAAATACCTTTCCAATGAGGTAAGTAAGAGTCTTTTTTTTTATCCACTTTCTCCTTGTTTGTGGTTTCTAGTAGTATTCTAATTGTCTTATTGATCACATTCTGCTTTTTTTAGTTTGATCATTGTTCTTTTCCCCCAATAACTTCCAAAGTGTCTCTACAAGTTCCAGTTAAACCCACCAACAATGCTCAAAGTGAACCAACTTCACCTAACCCGTCTCATAATCTTCGCCGTTGCCAAACTGTGGCTCTCCCTTCTCCCGGCTTTGTTTTTCAACCTCCCGATTCTCATTGTGCTTTGATTCATTTGTTGTAGTAATCAAAAGTATTCAAGAGACAAATACACAATTCATTTTTTTTATCATTTTATTTCATTTTATCTTTATGTTACATGTTGATTTTTGAGTGTAATGGTTATGTGTAGGGGGTGTAGTGTAAAATGAAGCCAAAAGTCGAAATTATGGGTTTAGAACTTATGTGTAGTTGAGTGATATATGGGTTATGGGGAGTATACAGGTTTCAAGTTGAAATTTAAAATTTTATGGGTTTTGATAGTCATGGCTAAAGATATGTATGGGTTTAATGTGTTGTGTAGAGGAATCATGGTTTTGAGGTATGGGTTTAAATAAGGCTAAATATCGAAAATCCAACAACTCAGACAGATGGTGGTAAACTGGGGTAGTGGTAAACTGGGGTGGTAAACTGAAAAAGCAAGAAGATGGATTCATGGGATTATCAAACACCAGAACTGGCAAATTAAACATTACATATGAAAAGGGAGGATTTGAAACTCAAAAATCACTTTCAAAATCATAAAAAGTGCTATTTTCAATCATACAACTTCAATTTTAGGGTACCACAGCATCTTTTCAGCCTAGAAGTAAGTTGGGGAGGGTTATATTTTCGCGTATGAACATGAAAAATCAATTATAAACCATATACATCATCATCAGTGGTAATATCAGGTGGTAAACTGGGTAAATCCAATTTTGAGTATTTTCATACAAAACTAAATTTCATTTTAAGGGTACAACCAATAGAGTTAGAGTTTGGCTTGGCTGAGCAAATTTGTAGAGCGGAAGCAGACCTTTCTTTTCGTCCATTCAGAATTTTGATACAGTCCCTATTTCATATCTTTATTTTAAGTTTTAAGGGTAAATGGTGGACAGCTCAGTTTTAATGATAAATGTGTGCTTGAAAATTTGTCAATGATACATGTGGGTGTGTTGAAGATGTTTATCAATTTTAATTTGGGGTTTGTTCAATGATTTGTGTGTGAAAAAGCTGTTTGAAGGTAGATTTCGAGTTTGGGGGGTGTTTTTTGTCTCACTTTCTCTTTTTGTGTGCTGTTAATTTTGGCCATTTCTATTTGCAGCCCACACAAAATCCATGTAGGTGCTGCCAAAACAGCGCCTACATGCCTTTTTCCCACGAAAAAGCGCCTACATACAGCCTGTAGGCGCTTTTTTTTTCTACATGTTTTAGAATTTCAAAAACATGTAGAAGCTCTTCATAATCTTCCAGATGAAGCTGGAGCTGAAGGAGACATCAATCTCAAAGGTATTTGATTATATTTTTGATTTTTTTTTTCTTTTTCGAAATTTTCTTTTTTTCACGTTTTTGGTTGTTGATCCATCTGTTTTTTTTTGGTTCTTTATTCAACAGATCTTCCAGATATCCACGTGGCGTGTTCTGCTGTGGATGCAGACTGGCCTATAATTGCAAATGGTGAGTGATTTTCTTTAATTTATTTCGAAATTTGATGCAATTTTTTTCGAATTAATACTGATTATTCATCCTTCTTATTTATTATTATTATTATTCTTTATTATTATTATTCATTCTTATTATTAATTATTATTATTATTATTCATTCTCATTAATATCAATCTTATTATTCACATAGTTAATGATTTAAGTTTAGATCTCAAAGATCCACGGTGGGGTAAACTTTTTAGAAGTGATAAGGTGGCAAAGCAATACCTTTACTCTGTATCTTTAAATGGTGGATATGGAATATCCGTAACTTCTTCAAAAAATAACCGTGGATGCCATAAAACAATTTATTTTCACTGTCATCGTGGTAATCCTAGAAAAAGCAAAGCTACTCAACGTATTACTTCAACTAAGAAAACGGGATGTCAGTGGAAGGCTGTTATTAAACAAAATAAGAAAACTGGTGATTGGGTTTTAGATCAAGTCAGGAATAGTAGTACTGGACAATTCCTTAATCATTTATCTCACAATCATGAACCTTTTCAATCTCCTAATGAATTTTCAATATATAGAAGATTAGATTTAATTCAGATCATGTTGGCTCAAAAATTAAGTAGATCTTCAATCAAACCTCGCCACATTATGACGTCTCTTGACAAGAATCCTGGTTTCAATCCTATCATGAAAGACATTTATAATGCAAGACAGAAATTTCGAGCTCAAGAATTAAATGGAAGGGATCCTATTACCGCTTTGTTAGATTTCTTCATCAAGAATAAATGGAATTATCATCTTCATAACGACGATAACGGAAAATTATTATCTTTATTCTGTGCTCATCCTAACTCAATCAAATTAGCTTTACGATTCCCTCACGTTTACGGAGTAGACGCCACTTATAAAACTAATGATTGTGAATTACCATGTCTTCATTTCGTGGGAACTACTTCAATTAACAAACCTTTCTCTGCGGCTTTTTGTTTTATGATGGACGAAACTCAACCTACTTACAAATGGGCTTTATATCGATTTAAACTTTTATTTGAAGGTTGTGATCCTGAACTTTCACCTAGGTTATTTGCTACTGATAGTGAAAGAGTGTTGATTAACAGTATTCAAATCATTTTTCCTGATGCTGACCATATCCCCTGTCTGTGGCATATCAACAAAAATATTCAAAGTCATATCAAATCTAAATCATCAAAAATCAATGAAAATCATTTTCTTAAATTGTGGAATTCCTTTTGTTCTTCTCAAACAAATTTAGATTATCACAACTCAAAAGATCTTATTAAAAATTACTTAATTGAAAATCACGCTCAGGATCTTCTCAACTATATAGAAAAGAAGTGGTATTCTCAAGAGCACAAATTTGTTTCCCTTTTTACAAGTAAACTCAAACATTTTGGAACCAGTACAACTAGTAAAACTGAAGGAACTCATTTTACCATCAAAAAAGATTTAGAAAGTACTAAACATGACTTATATTCAACGGTGAAGCATTTTCAAAACGCACTGGACATTCAATATAATGAAATTATTGGCTCAATCCGTCATCAAAAATCCAAAAAACTCAACAAATTTCATTCTATTTTTGATGATCTTCACGGTAAAATTTCTCA